TCATTGGATGGTCTCTATCATCTATGCCACTCAATGCATAGTCCTTCTGATTGCTCCTTACTGGCCTGCTGAACCTTGGTTTCCCCAGTTGCTCCAACAGCAGGTGGTCCCCCCTTCCTCTTTCCTTCTGCTCCAACTACTCCAGTCATTGGCACTTTATCCCACATCGTCTGTCCTCCATTTTCATGCCTGGCTTTTGTCAAATCCTTGGCAAGGAGTTCCAGTTTTTCTTGCAGAGTAGCTCCACATTTAGCCTGTTCCATTCGCCCTTCTTTTTTGGCCATCTCTCAATGCAAATGGAGAATTTATGGCTCCTGGACATTGACTCGGGGTTGCCAGGCTTCTCACCCAATGGTTGCTTCTATCTCTCAGTTTCTTTCATGGCTATTTGAGAGGGGTTCTTCGATCTTCTTGATTTCAGGGATTCGGCCGGTGTTATCTCATACATTCCATTTTTCCCACTTCCGTAGGGTCTTTGCTTCCCCTGTCCTTTCCATGTTGACCCATTTCTTTTAGCTCCATCAGCCACCACGGTGTCAGTCGCTCCCGGACTGAGACACTGATGTGGTCCTTCATGCCCTCACTTTACTTCAATTTGAACCTCTGTCTATGTGTTCCCTTTTTCACCTCTATTTGAAGGCATATTTCCTCCTACTCCTGGTTTGCAGGCATCGTAGGTTGGATATTTTCACCCTCAATGTTACCAGGACCTTGTACCACTCCTCCTCCTACCTTATCCTTTTTCCAGATCGTGCTTCCCTTCCCAAGACCTCTGTGGCTCAATAAGGTAAGTCTTCTTTGTCCCCATTCTGCCCATCCTTTATATCTCATCTCTATCCTTGTCCTGATCTGGATAGACTCCTCTGTCCTATCTGTGCCCTCTGTTGTTCTATTGCTGAAATGGCTTTTTTCCAGAGTCCTCATTCCTGTCTTTTTATACCTTGGCAACCTTCATCTTTCCATGATTTTTTTTCAGTTACCCTGACCAATTTGGTTAGACATTTGATACAGTTGGTCTGTTCTTCCTTGTCTCCTACCCAGCGTTATCTCTTTCACATTTCCTCGCATCAAATCTGACCTTACCTTCTCCCTTGCCTCTCGTCTTTGTCAGTCATTGGAAGAGATTCTGTGATCGGGCATGTGGACAACTCTGCACTCGTTCATCTCCCACTACCTATACTGTATTGCTGTTTTTGCTTCCTTGAGGTATTGCCTGCTGCTATTCTACAGATTTCAGCATGGCTGTGATATGAGGTAAGAACTCATTAATGCATTCTTTTCTTTCAGGGGCCCCCTGCTTCAGCTTTACTTTGGATCCCACTCTGTGGTGAGTGATGCCTGACCAGGTATTCTGTCTGTAC